ACCTGTGATGAGAAAATGGATGTTTTTAACCTTGTGTTAATATAAAGTTGAATGACTGAAGTGTCTTTTCGCCAGCAGGCACGCTGTGAGATACAAAATACAGATGCTACAATTATCATAATGTTGCAACCATGTGACAAGTGTGACAGGGACTAGAAGCAAAGCAGAAACTTTTGAACCTTTCGGCCGAACACAGCAGAAGTTAATTCTGCTGAGCCCCCCACAAAAAGGAAAAAAAAAAACCAATACGGCCCCTATCTTGCACAGAAAGCATCTTGGCGTGTAACCAAGGTGCCTGTCCTATTTTCTACTTGACTCAGTTGATTTTTCATGCAATGCACCAACAGTTAGCGCCCATGTTTAGCACATAGAATGGTACTTTAAATCCTGTCCATTCATGTCTACATGGAAATGTTAATAATTGATTAAGTTGTGCTTCAGTGCCTTGTGGAATTTTTCACCACCTCTTTCTGATTGTTTCTGATGTTGTAGGACAGCTTCAGCGAAATATAACTGCAATCCATCATCAATATGTTTTTAGTGTCCTTGGTGTGTTCTGTCTTAAACAGCACCATGAAAGGAAAACATAAGTTTCCGTCTATCTCCATCTCTAGAATTAAAACCGACACACCAGCCTGCAGGCCCCCCAGTCTCGTAAAGTGAGTAAGCGCTTACACTCTGATTTGTTTGATTAATGTTACACCCAAAACACATCTGTTTAAGGTGTATTTATCATGCAACTTATTCCAACTTCCCTGTGCCCTGTACCTCACTAAGTGCCCAGATTGTGCGTCACTTAACTACCAACATGCATTCAGACAGACTCCAAACCACTTTGTTCCTACAGCACCAGGGCCCGTACTTTACTATTGATCCACTCCTCTGCGAGGTGTATACATGGTCCCTTTTCTGAGAGCAGCAAGCTTTTTGCTTTCACTACATACGAGGCATCCTAACTTTCCATCCTTGACGTCAAGCCATTCTCCTACCTGCTCAATCCAGCTGGCAAGTCACTTAAGCAAGGAGCCAGCCACCGCTACACCTCCTCCGCCTCCATCTCCCTGAGAGGGTCTCTCTGCATCCACCTGTCCAGGTTGTGGGGTGTGACTTGGCGGGAGTCAAGCCCCAGACTCCACAGTTGATGTGCTTGCATTTTCAGCGGGTGCCTTCGCTATTTTTTTGGTGTCATTCCCGATTCAGCTTTTTAGAAGTGAATCCAAAGTTAGAAAGTAAAGCATTTTGCTTTCTCTTTGACATATTTCCCTGACTTGACGCTCACCAAGTCTGTACTTTTTAATCGAGAGTAACGCAAGCCAGGATGCCAAAGAAGGTTGTCCGGCTGGGTCACGTTAGGTCATGGTTTGCTAACCTACAGCGCCATGCATGTAAGGAGGAAGAATTATCGGTATATCAAATAGCAATATAAGGGAAAGCACTGCCTTATTTTTCTGTATTCATATTTGGACAAATGTTTTGTAATATTACTAATTAATACTGGATATCTTGCGCTTTTGAAATACATTTTTAGTGACAATTGCAGGTGAAATGTTATTTTTCCAGAGACCCTTCAAAGTTTTGCTGTTAAGGCCGTTTCAAGTGTCAATCAAGGGGTCTCAAACCCCCCAAGACCCCCTGTATTTCAGACACTGGTTGATGGGTCCTGAGGCCCGACCTGTTGAGAACCACTGTTTTAAGCCTGGCTCACACTGCAGGATAATCGGGCTGATTTGAGCTCCAATTCTTCCTTCCCGACAATCACAGGGTCTCTCCCAACGCAAGGCTGCTCGGAACCGATTATCTGCTCAGATTATCTTGTAGTGTGAGCGGTACAAAGATCCAATCTTATCAAACATGTTTGATATTTAGAAAGGGTTCGGCAGAAAGTGCAGTGCAGCACTTTTCTGAAACTTGTATCCATATATCGACAATTGTATCTACTTTCCTATATCCTATAACTACTTTCACTTCCTTCTCTTTCACCAACTGCCTTCCGTTGGAGTTTTCAAATGAAATTTTATCAACAGTTGTCAACGCTCCGTCCTGATTTCACTCGTACAGTGTGAGCTCTCCGGCCGTGTCTGACAATCGGATCTTACAGTGTGAGCACAGAAATCTCAAGGTCTGGTCGGGCGTCCTAAACGATTCAGTCGCACAGTGTGAGCTGACATGCCACCCCGACCTTAGCCCTTGGTTGTGTGTTGTGTCCCCCCCCCCCCCCTCCTATCCAATAAAGGCAAAAAGGCCCAATAAAAAAATGAAACCAGTGAGGAAGTGCACAAATGCAGTTCCTCTAGTGTCCACTTGAGGCTGTCCCCATATTGACCAATATTAATTTGCCAATTATTACAGCAGAAATAAACATGTTTACAACCTGCTACAAAAAACAGTTTTGGTCTCTGATGCTCATTTCTTTATTCATTAATGCTCTATGGGGGTTTAATGTTTTAGAACTTAATTGATTTGATTATATTAAGAGTTAAGCAGAACTAGGCATCATAAGGGGCGTAATGGCTGATTTTACTGACAGGTGTACTTGTTATAACTGTTTGCAAGGAGGCTAGGCTTCACTTCATTCCCTGCTTCTCAATTAGTTCTCAAAAGTTGGAGTAAGCTTTTGTAATATGCAGAGGGCCATTGTGAATCTTCATAATGCTTCTTCAGAGACTGATATTGTTGACGTCATTGTGACCATGTGCATGTTCACACAGTCTACAGAAGATACTGATTGATCAGTTGATTGTATTATTTAATACATTTCTCAAACTGGAACTTTTTCATGCAGGTTATCTTCTATGATTAGACAAATTTTGTGATGTCTGTCAGGTTTAAATGCATTGAAAATGAAAGTGTAAAGAGGGGGTACACAATCTTTGCATTTCAAAGACATGCACACTTTCTTCTCTTCAAAGCCTTTGCTGATATGCTTATTTAATTAGGTGCAATTCATTCCGAAGACTTTTCTGGTCTTCCTTTACCCTAACGGTGCGAACAGCTTCATCGTGTAGTGCCAGTTTTCAAATCCCGTCTTTGTAAAATAAAGATACAACCATTAAACATTACAGAGAAAAACTATGTGAAATGGAAATCAGCAATGCCAGCAGTAGATCAACTGGATGAGCCTAATTTGTGTATCTGGGTGCTTGTGCCAATGTGCTCATTATGCATTTATTTGCAGTCAAGTCATGAGGCTGTGGTACAATAAAGCAGAGCAGTGAATCATTAGTGACAGTGCATTAAGGTTAAGGAGACTGCCTATCAAAGTAGACACAGAATAGTTAAGTTGCCTTCTGCTTGCATGTGGATGCCTGCGTTTGGGTGGGCACTGTGCAACGAGCGTGCAGCTGCATAATGATTCAAGATTTCAATTGACAATTCACCTTGATGATGTGCAGGCGGCTAACTGTGTTTCCAAACAATGCTAAGAATAATGTTTTTAGTGTATAATTCCCCCTAGAACGTGTTCTATCCATCATGCACCCTCCTAATAGAGGCCTGAGTGCATTGGTGCAGGGTTGTCTTCAGGTCAGCACCGCTAGAACTAACAAGGATTCAGCCTAGCTCGAGGACATTTCACGAGGGTGAATAATTGCCATATTGGGGGCTTGAACTTGTTTCCTCCAGTTGAAGGATCCTACTTGACATTAAGCTACCATGATGGACTGAGTTTCAAACTGAGAAAATACAATTCAGTCGCGTCTTGTTGAAGAACTTCCCTCACACTTTTAAATGACATCCTCTTTCTTTCCTTGTATCTCATTTATTTTAAATGGAATTTTGATTATGTTAAATTTAACCTTGGCTATGGCAATCATCCTTTTCTGTGAGACATACGCAGGGAACAGAACTCATTGCCAAACTGCAGAGACAGGAATAGTAATTATTAGAAATACAATTAGTCAGCAGTTATCATTAAGTCATGTGCCACCTAATTTCCAGCATGACATTACATAACGATACTAGTTTAACAGCATGCACATCCTATAATTACCGTCTTTGGGACATTTTTTCATATCTTTGATGAATCACGATTAAAGGCCAAAGAGATTAAATAAAAGGCGCCTCAAACTGAATCTAATTATCTCACAGCTGTTTAAATAAAGCTAGGAAAAACTAGAAGTAGCCCCGTGGAAGATTTAGAAATGAACTTTCAAAACAAAAGCACAAGATCCCAAATTCGAATGGGGTGGTTTATTAATGTGTGAATGTGTGTGTGTGGTAGAACATGAGATGAATGCCAAACAGTAACATTGCTTAGAAAAAGTGGATTAGGAACACTAGCTGAGGGAGAAAAACGTGGGGCATGGTGGAAATTAATGTGACGGGTAATGCTGGAATGATGAACTAAGTCATGGCCTGACAGTTCACAATAGACCAGAATCTAGATGAGCTGCTGGCACAGATTTTAATCCAACTTTATTATCATATCACCTGTTATTATGATAGTTTTTTTTTTTTTTACGTCAGTAATTTCCTGTGTTGGAAATATCTAAAACAACATTCTAGACAAACCTGTGTTAAATTACTAATAACCATTGTAAACAGTTTTGTAAACTATGACAATGTTTATAGACAATGTTTTGTTTAATTAAATTGACAATTAAGACAATGTAATTAGAATTAAATAATAAATAAATAAAAATGAAATAAATAAATCACACACAAACACACAAACTGTATATTATTGAGAGTGACATGAAACAGCCAAAAGTCGTAGATAGACTTAAGGCTCATACTTTTGGTATGAATATTTTTAATTACATACAATCGCTCTGAAATTGCAATTAACCATTTTCTCACCCACATTTTAAGTAGGCTATTTGCCTTCAATTCAGTGTAAACAAATCACAAAAAGTCACTTCTTCCATCCTACTAGAGTGAGGGTTTTATTTTGGAGACAGTGTCCGGAAGTCTTTATGTCTCAGTTTGGGTTACTTGACGTTGGTCCCTGCTGCTCGCGACACAACCGCACGCAGCTGCTTTCATTCTCCAGCGCTCGAGACGCAACACCGGAGAGGGGAGCTCGCGCGTGGTGATCCAGGGATATCATCTCTGATGGACTTGATTTAAGACAGAAACACGCCGGTTTTCCTCTGAGTATAACCACTTCGGCGTAAGTTCGGCTACAAGTGCAGTTCTGCGGCTCTTAAAGTGCTCTGATGATCTTAAGCACCGGTTTTTTAATGTGTTTTATGTGTTTGCGCTCAACAGTGAGGTAAAATAATTCGGGCATTTTTTTTTTTTTATCCAAGAGTGTCGGCGTGTCTTTTATCCCGTGGATGCTGCTGTCGGGGTCGGTGTCTGAGCCCTGCAGGACCAGCCTGTCATAGGGGCATCATGAATTTTTTGGTTCTTCACAAGTGGATGAGGAATATTTCCCCGGAGATGCTGCTGCTGGTGCAGATATTGTGGCTTTTACCTCTGACCGGAGCGGCTCCATCTCAGACGACCGAGCAGCTGGACACAGGGGTGGTAAGTTTTATTTTATAGTATACATGAAAAAAGGGGCGGGGAGGGGGGGTTAAAAGTTTTGCTAAAGCAAGCTTTAATCATGCCCCACAGTGGGACCGTGGGGTGACGTTTTCTCCCTCTTTTTCGGCCACTCATTCACGTCCAGGAAAGAGTCCAAGTGCTTGTCTTGTCCGCATACTTGCTCTGAATTTTAACACCGCTGCAGCCCCAGTGCACGAGACTGAGTGACGGTTCACGCTGCATGATGAAAAAAAAAAAAAGTCTGCAAATAAACTTCACCTGCCCAGGAACCAGACACATTCATAATTATAATGTAGAATAATCAATATGTTGGCCAAGTTACCTTTGGGCTAATAAATAAATGTATGTGAAGGGATTTGCCATGGCGTTGTATCGACCCTCTTCACTGTGTTGCTGCTTTATCCTGTATTGGCACAATTGACTGTGGACTAAACCCACGAGATTATGATGTAGGTTATTTTATCAGATGTTTCTGTTCATGACTCTGAAAGACCAAGTAAATACAATTGTTGTGCTTACAACTGAGGATCCCAAGGGCTGTGATGGAGCAGAAGTAATGATCAGGTGCATAAACAAATAGATTTGACCAGAAATCTGAGCTCCACTTCAGACTATGCAATTATGTATTTATGTTCTAGTGCGATTCACTTGTAACCAATCACCCCAAGATAACTAACATCACGCTGTGTGTTGCTCTTGAGTTCTATTGAAGTGAAATTCTGCATAAGTAATGAACGATACCAAACATCATCAACCAATGATCCATATAAAGTCAGCACTGAGGATAAGGCACCTGCACAAACATAAGTTGTAAATGAACTGATGTTTTGTTGTGCACATGTGTCATTTTTTCCTTTCATGTGGAAATATAAAAGGAAATCAAACTAGATGCTGTTTTAAAAAAAATGTGAATATTCAAAATTTCCTAAGGGGGGAATTTTGAGTTGTTTGCTTGTAAAAGCTGATTATTGTCACAGTAATTTCATCCTCATTGAAGCGACATTTCCCACAATTCCACTCCTCGGGGCGACATCACTTTTTATTACGACTCATCCCAACTTCTGTCTCGCTGTTTTCAGCACTCAAACTCGTCGCAAAGCTGTGCTCAGGGATTACGTTTTTCTTAATAACTAGAAATAAAGGCAGCTATTTCTTTACTCTTTTTTTTTTTTTTTTTTGCTTCAACTTTTTCTTCCACCTTGGTGAGATGTTCCTTGCATTATTTGACTCTACATTCTTCACACATCGAACACAAAAGAGGCTTCAGTTGTGAGATTTTGTGGAGCGTCTTTTTTTTTTTTAATCTGTCGGTTTAAGAGTGTGTGTAGGAAACCTAGATTTGTCCCAAATTTACATCATCTAAGACCTTTTTTTATTTTAGAAGAAGCGACGTAGTCTCTGTATGTTTCGATTTGTGTTGTTTCTGTCAGTGTGTGAAGTACCTGGACCTTTAGCCGAGGCGAATGCCAACCATGCTGACATCAGGACATGCTTTATTGCACCTCAGCTCGGAATTCATTTTTCTGGTTATCCAAAAGGTCAGTTTGGCCACACTGACAGGGTTTCCATCACGACACACACTTCTCCTTGCTGTGTAACTTCAGCCACAAACAAAGCCTTGGATCATCAGACTATAACCCCCCCCCCGCCCCCCCCATCACCCACCATTCTACACAAACATCTTGTTTTGTTCAATTTCCAATTTGACTTTTCAGTCTGTTTGCCAGAATAATTGGACAATGTGGGCCTTTTTTAATGATATTTATTCCACTACAACATTTTCACTTCGAATAAAGTTCGAGTTACTCAACAATTTCTCTAAAATTGTCCGAACCACAACTTCTCTACAGACACAGTGGTCTCAGCCGGTGGAAGAAAAGAAATCAAACCTGAGGTGAAGCCTCAGCGTTTTCTCTCCATTCATCACGGCAGAGAGAAAATAATGCTCAAGCTTCCCTGCATTCCTAGATGGAGCTGTATGATACTTTCAGCCCAAAGTGGTCCAGCTGCAGCCTCCACACAGCCACTCCAACGACCATTATTGTTGTTGTGATACCTGGAATACAGTACATGGCACCACAGTGATGGACACAGACTTCCACAAAAACGTCCATGTTTGTTGAACGCTCTAAAGATGCCTCTCAGTGGAGGTTACTCAGTTCATATAATAAAAGCTTGTGTACCATGTTGTTGAGCCTCTTGTCACAGAATATTCTGGTTTCGAACAATCTACTCTACCTCTTTGGCTGACAAGCTGACATCATCACTACATTGTCTTAAATGGAGCCACATAGAGATGCACTGATTGTTAAAATCAGAGCTGACACCGATGTTCAAAATGACAATTGAGCCGATTGTGGTACTGATGTTTTTTTTTTTATCATTACTTCTTTGTAACTCTTTGTGTCTGTTTTTTAGATTAGCTATTCGATTTGATGTCTTTAAATTGTTGTAAGTGCTGAGGGTGCTGCAGTACTCTTTAAAACCTGTGCACAATTAAAATCATCAGCTTCTAAAAAACGTTTCATCTTTTTTTATGGGATATGTTGATGTAGTGGAACGATGTGCGTGATCGCTTTTCTTGTTTGCTATAGTTGTCTGAACTTGTTCATGATACATCCTGCGGAGGGGAACAATTCAAAGCTGGTATAGACGCTTTGTAGTTGTGCACACGTTGAGATGTTTCAGAGAGGTTTTTAAACATAATCAAAGAAATGAAAGACGTTCGATCATCCATTCAGACAGAGCAGAATAACTAGATGTTCCACTAGACTTTGGAGTTTTAGTTGATTATTCTCTTAACAACTGAAAAACAACATCTGAGAAAGAGAGAGAGACAGAGAGAAAGAGAGAGAGACAGAGAGAGAGACAGAGAGCTTATTCAGACGATACGAGTGAGCGAGTGTGCCGCTCCACACAGGCAGACAGACAAGAAACAAAAACAGCAAACATCACAAACATTCAAATACATGAACAAATGTATAATATCTATTGATTTAAAGCCAAATGATGTATTAAATGTGCTTTGTTATCAAATTTATATACAGAACTTATAATTGGCTCACCCTACCCCTCTCTGATCACCTGCAGTGCTGTGTCAGGTGCTGCATGTTATCAGGCTCAAAGAGCGAGGGGAGTTTCTACACTCATTGATCGAGGATGGCAATCATACAGATTTTAAGAAAAAAAAAAAACATAACAATAGAAAATATGGGCAGAAATTATACTTGCAGCCATGAAGATATTTGGGCGACCGGCAAGGTATCGTCTTTGTGTCAGAAGCATTAAGCATTAAACAAAAGGTGTTATTAACTGTATCCTTAATATCTTTGGCGTGTCGCATTCTGTAGACGTCCCATCGTCTCTTCTTTGGGAGCTTTCTAATTCAGCCTTGATTTTGTTGCAGACTTGAGACTTTTTACAGGAAAAACATAATAATGAATCCAAAACTCATGAGGCCTCATTCACCGACCGTTCTTAAGAATCTGGGATTCAACTTCAACGTCAACTTTATTTGTGCCCTAAGGGCGATTAGTTTTGCGGCAAGGTATTAAAAACACAGAAAAGGACAGAATACATGTAGAAAGCTAATGAGGTAAAAAAGGATGAGGGATATACTAATGTTTTCTCATGTTGGATTTGTTCTTAGGTAAGAACAGAAGTTACCAACACTCAGAAGCATTCTTACGCACATTTGAGTGCTCATATAAATCAGAGTGGTCTTTTAAAATAAATAACATAACACTTCAGTTCACATCCATTATTTACGTTTATTGCATCCCATGTGTCTTTTTGTGTGTCCCTGTGTAACCATTACTCACACTGCTGAATAAAACAGCTTGTCTGCTGCTGACCTCCTGCAGCACTACCTCCGATTCAGAACGGCTAAAGTTTATTTTCTGTTAGGAGTCTCGTGCTCCGCTGGCTCCGATCATCAGCCCTCGTTTAGGCATCTCCAAAATCTGATTGTGTGCTACCAGCTCGTGTTTTTGTGTCTGCAGGGCTCTGCACTCATGCCCTTTTTATGGGCATTAGTGGGCGGTTACCTATGCTAATTGGGAATAACTAGAACACGCTTTTAACTTACAATACAAGGAGAGAACACAGCTGCTAACTATTCAGTTTCTTTAAGAACACGGTTGGTGAATCTTCTTAGAAATGTTCCTTGGAACAACTTCAGATAAATCTCGAGAAAGTTCTCGAGTGAATGAGTGTGAATGTCTTTTTGTTTTTATTTTTTCCATTCTTCAGTGTTACAAAATGTTAGCAATCTAGTTAATCATTCCATGATTTCCTGCGTTTGACACTGGTGTCAAACTCGAGGCTGTTTCCACTCGGGATGCAACAATACAGTCAGCCCACGGTTCAATACGTACCTCGGTTTTTTGGTCACGGTTTGGTTCGGTTCTGACGGGCCGGGCCGTTAAAATGTTTCCAGTGTTAAGTGTTTCAGGCAAATTTTACAGAACAGCAAGGCATTAAGAAAGAGAGCTACTTTTTTTCATTTTAAAACTATTTATTTTACTTTGAAGCAAAAACAAATTCAGGTGCTCTCCTTTCAGCCTATTGCAAAGTCAGATTCGATTTGAACATGAAGTAAACAACAATTAGCTCAATGAATGTCAACAAAAAAGTGCATTGGTGGCATACTGTCATATTTCTCTTTTAGTTACGATTATCGCTCCTCTCTTATTCTTGTAATGTTCAGTATTGTAAATATTTTGAGTATCAACAGCAGCTCAAACGATTTAAGAACACTTCAAAAGACATCAAACCTCACACTGAAGGTTCAGACGTGGTTTATGACCAGTTTAGAGTTTTTAATAAGAGCAGTGAGGGTGATGCGCACACACAGAGGAGCACTCAGTTGATGTTGAAAGACATCAGGTAGTTAACAGACAGCAGCCTGCCATGTAGTTCACATACTTCACTGGTTAACACGTAAACTGTAGAGCAGATGATCAATTTCACTTTTTGTT